TGAATCTGATTGCTTGCCACACTTTATCTTTGAGAATCTCTTTGAGAAACAAGTATTGTTTTGTTTGCTTGATCTTTCATGATAGCTGTTTTTCATTAAATTAGAGCTGTATCACAATTTCAAAATACTTTTCCCACCTAAGCCGTGTACTACCACACCCCAGTTGAAATAACCATGTTTTCGTTACATAAAAGAGCAGAACCATCAATAGCTTGATCTTTAATATGCCTAACCATCTCATTTCAAAGGTGTCCTTCAAACTTTTATATCTGAGTTTCTGATTACATACATTCACTCATGCAACAAATATTTACTGTATATCCATCAACTTTCTACTTTGCCAACCCTGTGGCATATCTTTCATTGAATAAAAGACACGTTCTCCTCTCTCATGGTGCTTACAATTCTGTGTCCCAATTAATTGTTGTAAATGTAAGGTATGAATTATATGGATTTAATAGTATATAATATACTATGTCTGGCTAAATTATCTTTTAGAATCATAGTGTTAAATGATACCATAAAGATCAAATCTAGTGTTCTCATTTATAACTCAGTTGTAAGAGAGTGATAAGTAGACTCAAGCAGGAGCCCAGGGCTCTTTGTGGTCATTGCTATAAATAGGCATAAGGCTCTGGGTCGCTTGTATAACCCCTTTGTTATGCATATTTAAAATACTAGTATACCAGACAATTCAGGCGCATCTGTCTTTGATTATAAAAGGGAAGAACACTTCTGTAGTTGTTTCTGCTCTTTAACTCATTCCATTCCACAGGGACTGCCCCACAAACACAAAATTCAAGTTATACAGACAGACATTGCTAAGGGTTCCAGTCATTTTAATCCAAACTGATTAAACTGAGGCTCTTTTTCAAGTGATTGTCAGGTCAGTGATAAATGTCTAGAGATGAAAACTCCAAGGTAGAGGAGCGAATCTCAGAATCCACAGGAGAGAGACATAAATGCTAATTACACATTGACTTTAATTCCTGGTTTGTCTTAGCTGTCTGCAGGTGTGTATCTTGGCTATGGGCTATTCTCAGGGCCTCATTTGTATTTGAGATTTTAATAGTGCTGCATCTTCGAAGCGCTTTTTAATCTCTGACTCATTTGCAATTCTCTTTCTCTTGATGTAGGAAATAATTAATTCGCAGACGAATGTAGTTTCTTTTGGTCATTGAAGATTAAATATTTGATTTGTTTCTGTTGTTGTTCTTCCTATGGATTGGGCTAGCACCTCCTCGTGGTCTTCTGGCCTGAATGATGCACAGATTTCACTCTGCATTACTCCATAACTCCCACCCATTGTACCTATGTGGCCCTGTTGATTAACTAGAATACTCCTCTGTGTGGTGCTTCTGTGCCGAATAACTGCTGTTTGTCCCTTTACCTCCATCTGCTTCTGAAGAGGAGGCTTGGCATTGGCAGGTACAAGGTAACCTTGAGGTTTTTTGCTTAATTTCTTTTTAAACACGGATAATTTTTTCCCCTTTGCTAATAGAATTGAGGGCTTCACTTGTTATGTGAATTGTATAAAAGAAAAAACAAAGATATGTGGACTTTTATCATGCCACTCAATGCCCCAAATTGGATCATATCTTGTAGCATGCCCTATTTAAACTTGGCACCATGGTTTGGCCATCCTTGAGACTTAGCTTACTCTTGTGATTTCCTCTATAGATTTTGCCATGACTCCAAATACCCTCTTTCTTTCCTAGTCTCTTCCTGCAAAAGAACATTACTTAAACATTCTGTGACAGTTCCAGGTGTGTCAACTTTAAACATCGAGAGTACTTCTTCCTGTCCCAAGCATCTTGAGTCACCAATGCTTCTCTGTATGCAGCCCTCTCATGCCTGGCCCTGTCTGTGGTCTATATTAACTCTGGCATGCTGCATACAGGGAAACAACTAAAACCACTTTTTGGCGGTAACAGTTGGTCAAACCCTTACCCATCTCCTTTGCTTTATAGAATTTGATAAAATCTAGTAGTAATTTTAGTGTAGATAGCTGATTTTAGACATCGTGTTATCTTATTTTCTTTGTTTTTATGTTACGACAACACTTCTTATAAGGACTTAACTCAAGCCAGGCACATTGACTCATGCCTATAATCCTAACTACTCAAGAGGCAGAGATTAGGAGGATCCAGGCATGAGACCAGTCAAAGATGGTGCATTACAAGTCAGCCCATCTATGCAGGAAGCATTAATAGGAGAATTATGGTCCAGGCTTAAACAGGAGTCCCTATTCAAAAAATACCTAAAGCAAAGTGGGATGGGGGTGTGGCTCAAGTGGTAGAGTGCCTGCCTAGCAAATACAAGGCCTTAAATTTAAATGCCAGTACTACCCTCCACCCCCTAAAAAAACAAAAACAAACAAACAAACAAACAAAAACTGGAGCTGGCCTGATCTTTGGAATGGCTCTGGATTTTTGTTTTGTTTGCCCTTTTTTCCTTCTTAAATTTGATTTGGTAAAATGTTGAAGTTTGTGATATGACAGAATTTTAAATCTGGTGTCCTTTTCCAAATTTACTTTTTGTTTTAGAAATGAGTTTGGAAGCTGAGACAGAGTTAAAGGATTGCAATGGTGCTAACAGCAGTATGGCAAAACTTGATGCTTGTGTAATATACTGTCTTTAGGGTGATTGGTGAGAAGTGAAGATGTGTTTAGAAAAGGGATTCTGGACTGTAGAGATGGCTTCAGGCTGCTTGAGCCAGCATAAGGTCTTCAGTGTAGACATGTAAATCATCCTTGGCTGTTACGCAAACCAAATGTAAAGACATATGTTATATGTTTGCTAATGGATTGCATACACTTGATTCTTTTGATACATAAGCTTCATGAAGCCTGGTGCCAGTGCTGCCACTCAGGAGGCTGGGATCAGGAGGATCCCAGTTCAAAGCCAGCATCAGGCAAATAGTTTACGAGACCCTATCTAAAAAATAAAAATACCATTACCAAAACAGAGCTGATGGAGTGCCTCAAGTAAGAGTGAGAGTACCTGCCATGCAAGCATGATGCCCTGAGTTCAAACCCCAGTACCACCAAAAAAAAAGGTTCGTGGAGAAAAAGTACGACTTAATGTGTTCACATATGTTTATTTAGTGTATTCTTGAATTAAGCTGCTTTCCCACTTTGTGCTCCTGATTTCCTATTTATGTGCATATCCTTTTAAAATCCAAAATCTGAAGATTCTCCTGGTCCATTTCTATCCTTGTTACCCTCCCGCCCTGCAATGGGTGCTGTTAGGTGGGCAACATTTCCTCTCTCCAACTGTGTTGCTCTTGGATCTAGTTACCAGTGTTGTTTTGATTTAAACACTGTAAAATAAATTCCAGCCATCTTTGTGATAGTCATCTTGTTCTTCTTGATAGTCTTAATTTGGTCTTGGAGAAGGTATGGAAGACTGAAATTATGTGAAGTCCTTCTGGGAAGGCAGTCCATGTATATATACCTAAGGTAGGTGATACTTGAGATTGAATTCAGTGTTTGCTTGGCTCTAATACCTGAGCCATACCCTCAGTCCCAGGTCATATATTTAAATACAGCTCTTCAAAAATACTTTGCAAAAGTGGTTAAAAAACTGCTTTGCCCATCACTTTTGGCAGTTAGGCAAGAATATTGTAAACTACTGTCTAGTAGAATTGCTGTGGGCCTCAGTTATTTCAGCCATTTGTCTTATATGGGTTAACAGCTTTTTCTTTTTAAAACAGACTTTTTGTAAACAGAATTTTAGGTTCACAACAAAATTGAGCAGAAAATACAGAGATTTCCCTCTTCTTTCTGTCCCTATGCACGTACAGTGTCCCTCACCAGAGTGGGTGTGTTTGTTAAAATTGTTGACCTATACTGAACACATCGTTATCACTCCGAATCCATAGGCTTCATGCTTGATACTGTATGTTCTGTGGGTTTTGACCAGTGTATAACAGTATGTACTTGCCATTGTAGTATCACATAGAGAGTAGTTTTATTGACCTAAAAATCCCTTGTCCTTTGCTCTTTCATCCCTCCTTCCTCTATCCCCTGGCACCCAATGATCGTCCTAGTTTTTCTTTTTTCCAGAACATCATTTAGTTGAAATCACACAGTATTTCAGACTTCTTGCACTTAGTAATATGCATTTTTAAATCCCTCATGTCTATTCTTAGCTTAACAGCTTGTTTCTTTGTAGCACTGCATAGTATTCCATTGTTTGGATGTACCACAGTTTATCCTACAGAAGAATGTCATGATTGTTTCTAAGTTTTGACAGTTATGAATAAAACTGCTATTAACATACATGTGCGGGTTTTTATGTAGACACGTTTTCAGCTCCTTCAGGTAAATTTCAAGGAACTATATTCTTGAATGAAATGGTGAGGTTATGTTTAATTCTGTAAGGAACCACCATACTATCTTCCAAAGTGGCCATACCATTTTGTACTAGGGATGAATAAGAGTTCCTGTTGCTCCATATCCTTGCAAAGCATTTGGGGTTTTGGCCATTCTAATACGTATGTAGTAGTATTTATTGTTTTATTTAGTGTAGATTTATTTATTTATTTATGCATTCATGCTGAGGATCAAGAACAGTGTCTTGCCCGTTCTAGGCAAGCATTTTTTCACTGAGCTCTACCCCCAGCACATCCTTTATTGTTTAAACAAGCAATTCATTAATGGTATATGATTTGAAGCATCTTTTACTATACTTATTTGTCATCTACATATTATCTTTGGTGAGCTGTTCAGGTTTAGCATATTACTCAGGTGGCTTATTTTCTTACTGTTGAGTTTTAACAGTTCTTTGTGTAATTTGGGCAGATATCCCTTATATTATTTGTCTTTTGCAAATATTTTCTCTCAGTATAACTGTAGCCCAGTTATCTTTTCACTGTTTTTTTAAAGATCTTAAACCCAGAAAATCAAACCCAACTGATCTTTCACAATTATGCAAGCATATGCTAGTGAGCTGTATTGCAGACTCCCAACCCTAATTTCCTTGATCTTTACTTCCAGGTCAATGTGACTGTGGACTACATTAGACCAGCCAGCCCAGCCACAGAGACAGTGCCTGCCTTTTCAGAGCGTACCTGTGCTACTGTCACCATTGGTGGAATGTAAGTGTTTTTGGCCAGTAGGGACTCAAATTTTGTTTCAAGTGGCTGTGTTCTCTGCTTAAATCAAGTCTCTCTTTTCTTTTTTCCTGCTTCGATTTCTCTTGACTTAACCCAGTGGTTTATAATTATGTGCCTGTGTAGCACTTTATATTTACAAAGTACTTTATAATCACTCATTAGCTAATCATATACTTTCATTATTGTTGTTAAGATTTATTGGGCTCTGTGTGCTTGGCACCATGAAGTACACGTTATTAATATGTTAATTCTATTTATTGAATATTAAGTTGGCCCTAGGTGCTATCTAAAATTAGTTCAAAAGAGTTTTATATGTTGGTTTAGGAAGTTGAGTTGTGGGTGTGAGGAAGAGGGGAGAGAGGGACAGAGACAGAAGAGTAACTGGACATTTTCTTTGGATGGCGATCTGTAACAAGTAGGTGATGGAGGAGTCACTACTGCAATGGCTGTGCTATGGTTGTATTCCAAGGTCTCTTGGTAGCTTGGTTGATGAACAGAATCTTTCAAGGGAGGTATCTGACAGCGGAAGGAGGAAGCCTGCTGGGCCAAGCTTCCACAATAAATATTAAAGCAATCAGTCAGTCCCTGGTCGCAATTCTTACTTTGCATAAAATATACCAGCATGGTAATTGTTCCCTTCTCTATTTAAGTCTTCAGTGCTGTTTGTTACCAAACTGGTATTTCTCTTTTCTTTTAAGGGAGCATAGTGGAGGGAAGAAAAGAATAGGTTTCTTATCAAAACAGGGATTGTTTTACTGAGTGTACAATGAAGCCCATTGGAAAGATATGTAAGTTGTAGCAATGTCTCTGAAAGGATAAAGATCAAGTAGCTTCTAGAAACTCTTTCATAAATCGGGAGCCTCTTTCCGTCATTCTTGCTCTCACATTTGGAAATAACTATTTTTAGTCAACTCCTGCTCCTGTATTTATTAATGTTAATGTTCACACAACAATTTTGGAGGTTTCATTTGCCGGGAGGAGCTCAATATAGGCATTTGAGGTCATTATCTTCACACCATCACTGGAGACAGGTTTTGTGAGAAGCTGCTTTCTGATGAATCAGATAATATTTTTGATATGTGGAAAACTAGGACATGTTTTGGTCATTATTTTATCTGTGTAACTTAACAATAATGATTCTTTACCAATCTATCACCATTTTAGGAACTGTATGCATGCTTCCGTACCAGAGAGGCCAAGAGTGCTAGAATATTAGTATTTACCTGTATTAAAATTTTCATTTTAATCTAAAGTAAATAAGTTTGTCACTTTCAGAATAGAGAAAAAAATTTTCATTGGTGGAATCAAGGAGTCATTTCCAAAGATTATTGCTCTTGCTGTCTAATTAGTGGGGAAATGGTTTCATGACTGTGAAAACTCACATCTTGACTTTGGGCAGATGGTCTCCACCAATGTTCATTTAGCACTCCATTAGAGTAGATTATCTCATTTAGTAACCACCAACGTATATTTTAAAAATAAGTTCACAATTCTCAAAATCAGATATTCAGGGAGTGTTTCATCGGAATTCTTAGATTTTTAAGATAGTTTGAAATAGTTAACTTCAAAAAAATTATTCCAATGTTGTAACCATCCCCTGTGGAATCAAACTTTCAGATTCAGGAGCATTTATTTTGACTTGGCAGTTACTTTGTCATCCTATGTAGGTTTTTTTGGTTTCTGGGGTTTTTTTTAAATACAATGATTCCGTTCCCTTCACTACATAACTAGAAGTGAGATCTTTGAATCATGTGTTATGCCTATTTTCAGTTTTTAGGAGCCTGAATACTGTTCTCCACAATGGCTGTACTAGCTCACTCCAACTATGTGTGAGATCCCTTTCCCTCAACATCCTACCAGTCTTTTTTATCTGTTGCTTTTTCGATGATACCGATTTAGGTGGGTCAAGATAATATCTTGTTTTAGATTTGATTTGTATTTCCCTGATGCTATTGATGGTGAGCATTTTTTTCATACACTTGTTGGCCATTTTTATCTTTCCTTTGACAAATATCTGTTCCAGTCATTTGCCTATATTTTTATCAGATTAATTATTTGGTTCTTGAGTTCTTTGAGTTTCTTATATATTCTGGATATTAGAAGTTACTGATATTATTGAAACCTTCCCTTAACTAGCGTCTCCGTGGAAACGGGGAATTTTTGTCTTCTTCATTTCCTGTCATGACCCCAGTACCCAGCAGATGGTAGGCGCTCAAGGAATTTATTAAATAATTTGTTAACTGTGTTGCTAAGGGTCTCCTTATGAATCTTATCAGGTAATGTTTCACTACTGGGAATGGCTAAAGGGTGTTTGGTTGTTTTTTTTTTTTTTTTAACCTAATCAGTACTATAAAATCTGTAACTGATAGTTTTCCTTTTTATTTGGTTATTGGGAGCTCAGTGGCAAAAAGGTAGGTCATCTCTGACAAGTGAACACAGGGGCATGCTTTTGGTGGTGTAACTCAGAGTTTGTGTTATTTATTTTCTCTTTGTCTTGACTTTGCTCATTTTCTGAGTTTTATTTACTTTTAAAAATCTCCAAATAATGTACAAAAGTTGAGGTATTAATAAATTAGGAAATCCAAATAGCTTATATTAAAAAATAAGGCATATTAAAGCCCTTCTGTCTGATTTAATGGTTAGGTATTTAAAACCATTTATGCATAAAAATGTACATTATTTTCACATCTCTGGTATATGAGCAGTATGGATCACCTATTTGATATCTTAGTGAACTGCATAACTCCTTCCTCCTTGGAATGAGGAATACGAAACACTTGTTTTTTTTTTGAAATTTGTATCCCCCTCATCTGTAACAGTTGTCCTGTTCTATTATTTTCCAGCAAGTTTATAGCCATGCCTCTTTGTTAAACTCTTTCCAAGCATGCGAGTGTGTTCATAGATGTATGTTCTTTATATGCTCATATATTAGTGATTAATACATTATTTAAAGAAGTACATAATTAAAATAACAAGTACAACCAATATAAACTGGATTTAGGGACAAAGCAATGGCTCAGTGGGTCCAGGCCCCTGCACAGGTGTGTCATTGGCTTTCAGTAGATCACATAGGCATTTGCCAGTGGTGTTTGGTATGGTCACAAATCGAGTGGGTCAATTAAGGAAGCGTTATTTAAGAGAGTGTCTGTAATGTGCATTGCCTTTCTGAAAGGAGGGCTTTGTTCCATCTTGTAGAAATGTGTGTAATTAAGAAGACAGTCAATCTAAATGATGTGCCATAATCTGTGGGTTTACCGCATTTACACCTGTCCCGCTCCTCATGGCTGTCCTGTTGGTCAAGACACCAGCAGACTTCTCTGACTGAAAGAGCTCTTTTAAGTTGATGATTCCAGTGGAATGAGAATAATGAGACAGATGAGGTGGTGTCTCTCTCACATATTTCAAAGCAGGTTTTAGATGCAAAGTGTGTGAATTGTCTGTATCCTCATTAGGGCTATGTGGAATCCTGTTTTTCCTCTTGATGTGCAGGAGGGAGGTGAGTCTCAGGACCCTGCAGGCCTTACTGGTATGACACATGCTTCAGCTCCCCATCTCTTGCCCTCTGGGGAATTGATGGAAACAAGGTTCATCATTCTTCTAATAGATTAAAATTTTTTTTCTTGATTAACTTCACCGTGGAGTTGGCAAGAGTTGTTATCTGTTAATCAAAATAGTTTAAATAAAAAATTAAAAGATCAAACCTTGAGTTGTTTCTCATTCTCTGGCTCCTTGGGTTGGAAATTAGCTGATCTTTTCAGGCTTGGTTTGTGGCATGAAGCTGTCAAGATGGCGCTTCCTGTTAATTACTTTTTATTGTATTTAAGACACTTAAATAACTCTTCTTGTGATTTAGTCTTCTATGTAATTAGCTGCAGTGATTAAAATCTCATTCTTTCATTCTTGCCAGAGCCTTCTTGAAGAGTGAGATTTTCTGGGTGACCTTTCCCTGTACTGGACTTCCCAATTACTTTGGCAAACCCAAACTCATTGCTCATGTCTCTCTGTAGAAGAAAATTTGTGTCACATTTAGGAAATATACAACTAGAGTTAAGATTTACATGTTCACACTCATTCTCACCAGCCTCACCTCCGGAATGCTGTCACACAACCAGAATCTATAGGGGTCATCAAGCCATTTCTCCGATTCCCTTTATGTGATGTTTTCCACAGTGATACAAATGGTAGGCGTGGCTCATTTGGGGAGAGGTAAAGAATGTCAGAGGTGGAACTGTGGAGAAGAAACAATGGCAAAAATCCCTGTTTATTTTGTGCACATGATCACATTTTTGACAGGTGGTTTATTTTATTTATTTATTTATTTGTAACAGCACTCTACCAGTTTGTGTAGTTTTACTCCTGCATTCCTGCATTGCCCTTCTTGATCCATGAATGGCTAATGCCAGCCACCTTGGTGCCTATATGAAGATAGGGCCTTCCCACCTGAGCTACTGTCTTAAGTTCTGCTAGGGTTGGGACTTCTGAGGTGACATCTAATGATTGTCATCTGGCAGACTCAACACCACCTTTATGAACTTCCTTTCTGTTTCTTTGGATTCATCACAGATAGAGCTTAACTTTATTGTATTCATATGAACCAGACTTTTAAACTTGCAAGGAAAAAGATTTCCTTTGCCTTTTCTTTTTCTTTGGTTCTGATTTTCAGGGATTCTTTTTTCCAGCTGCTCCGTTAGTGACTAAAGCGTTAAGTTAGGTCTTGTCCTTACTCTGCTGGAGTAATCCTTTTTTAATCCTCCTGATTTTTTTCAATCACAATAGGAATAAATGTCATACAATCTCCAGCTTTTCTGGCTTGAGTTCCATAGTTTTGAAGATTTCTTTGCCAGCCAAATCTCTTGGAGTTTTCAAATCTTAAAACGTAGCAGTATTTCATTTTCATGCTACAGCTAGGGAGAAAGTAACCTCTTGAATCCCTCTCTTTCTGACCTTGACTTCTTACCCAGGGAGGCCCCCAGCATCCTGGA